AGACAGTAAAAGTGCAAATTTGCCCATGTGACTCAAACCTGGGAGTCTTTTCCTGTTGGGGACCAAGTGTGTTTCACTTGTAGCTTTTCAAATACACACATACTGTACAGTAAGATTTCTAAACAATTTTTACTGTAACCTACTGAATCACTCAGCTTTATCATGATCCACCAATTATTTTGACATAACATTGATTTAAGTGACATTTGAAACAGACTTTTCTTGACTGAACACTCGTTTATATGAACTTACCCGGAGAAGTGGGCGAGTTGTGCTTGATTCTTAACACTGCTATGAGTCTTCGGGCGTTCATCACCTCACTTGCCCTACACTTGGAAGGGATCTGAAGATACTGTAAATTACGATAAAAGCTATCGCCAGCGTTCAATGTTTCATATGCGTCCCCAATATACAGGCGAAGTTAGTGCGGGAGAAACTTATATCAAAGCGACTTACTGTATGACGGTACCCCTGTACTCTACCCACCTCAACATACTGTACGCATTAGAACTGTACACTACCGATTCCATAGATAGTTCGATTACGGTCATGGGTTTCCCATTTTTATTTTTGAGATGTACAGCCACAATCTTAAAATGCCTTTCCGAAACAACTGTGACAAACATTTATAGCTTCAAAGCTTCTTTATACTTTCCACTCCGACATTGCAGTTAACACGCGCCTGGCTGCCTAACAAAACCAGCGCGCCGAACACGAACATGTCACACTGCGTTTGTGCATCTCTTTCCTCCTGCTGGCATTGATCTCCGCTAACAGAAATCTCAGAACCCCAAACCATCTTTTATTAACGCCCTCATTCTGTAACTGAGATGCGCTGAGATGCAATTGCTATTTTTGTGTACTGGGAAAAAAACGAGGGAGAAAATAAACCTTCTCTATCTGAATGAGGAAGCCGGGTGTGCGACTGCTCGCTCCCCTGTTTGGCTGTGGATGGTTCTGGGAGATCTGCAGTGCTGGCATGACACCCTACTGCTGCTTTGGAGATAAGGAGCACTAGATCTCAATACAGCTTTCTGTAAAATTGCCAGTTTGTGTGAGAGAGACTTGTGAGGGAAGAAACTTTGAACCTGAACTCGGCTAAGTGAGAAGATGAGTTCCTTATTCTAGTTGTATAGTGCACTGAATGATATATTTTTTTGGTAGAACGTTCAAAAAGCTTTGTAACCATTCCACATCAGTTGTGCCTGCTTACTGTATCCGTGTTGGGCCATGTCTGCTGAGCACTGCAGAGACAAAGCTTGTATTACAGCACTCAGTGATATGCAATAACTACATGCTTAGGCTTGGCACAGAGTACTTACTTTTATTGTCCTGATAGGAAATTTGCTTTGCAGACATAATCGAATACATAATACATTTAACACAACAGGGACCCATTAACAAATAAGAGACACACACATTTGATAAGAAAGAAATATAGATATATACTGATGCAAAAAAGCAACACAACCTTTTTTTGTAATGAGGATACTATAGTTATAACTTATGTACTTTCACAAAAAGTTGTTAATTTGTTTTTTAGCCCTCTGACTAGCTTGTGCAGTGAGGCATTGCAACTTTCCAATCACACAAAAGCTTGTTAAGTGCACTTTTACCCAAAGAGTTCCAGGTGGAATAATGCCTGATCAGGTCTCCTTTGAAAAGGCCTTAATTCAAAGCTTAGGTCACTGCAAGAAAAAGGCCACACTTAGTTAGTTTTCTGTGCATTCCACAATGCCCCAAATGTCAGCAGAAGGGAGAGGGCCATTGGCATGCTGCAGGGTGGCATGTCATGTGCCAGCGTTGCCAGACACTAATGAGTAAGTCGCTCCACTGTGTCCCGACTGCAGAGAAGGTTTCAGCAGACCAGCAGGACAGATGGTCGTCCAAGATCTGGTTGCCCTTGAGTGACCACACCAGAGCAGGACCGACACATCAGACTGGTCCATCTGAGAGATCGTTTCAGATCTGCCACCCGTACTGCTGCTGAAACTTTCGCCAGACACAATGTCCACATCAGTGACAGGACAGTGAGGCTCTATGCTGCTGGCCTTAGAGCCTTAGAGCAAGGTCGACCTGTCAGAGGCCCTCTGCTCACACCTCCTAGACGTCTTGGAGGGGCCAGACAGAGGCTGCGATGGACTCGTCAGCAGTGGCATCAGGTCCTCTTCATGGATGAGTCACTCTTCAGCCTGTTCCACACAGACGGGAGGGCAAGAGTGTGGCGGAGCAGGTGTTGCGTCTCTTTTTTCCATCAGTATATATAATGTTAAATATAGTCAAGTGTCCAAATTAAGCAGGTTAAAGCTGTGGGATTGGCCACATTTGTAATGTAACACTTGTAATGCACAATAAGGTTAAAAGCTCTGGGGTCAGCAACATCATAGACTGTTTATACATCATAAAGTTGTAACAAAAGCTACTCTTAACTGCTTTTTGAGACATAAAATAAACAAGATCAATCTACATCCAGAGAATGGACTTTCTCTTTCTTTTCCACCTCCAAAATTCCTCAGACTCTCCTTTCCCATTATTTAATTGATCACCTTCTAGGTCATGAAGTGAAGTTTTTGGTTCATGCATTGTTCTCATATCTGAAATGTGTTTCTTGCTGGTGTGTTCTGGTTTGTCAAAGCCCTCTTGTGTAGGTAGAATTGTACGGGTATTAATTTGTAGTCTGAAACCAAATAAATTTCATCACGGTGCCACATCAAGAAATTCAAGTATCTTTTCTGCCAGGATACTCATTGTTTCATGGTACACTCAGCTGTACTGGTTTAGGGATTATACATACTGTATGTACAATCACTGCACATGTAAGGATATACTGTATACAGTATCAGCAGTAGGCTCAACTAATTCAGGCACCACGAGTATAGAAAAAAGGGGAAAAAACAGTACAATAACAGAACTTGGCTAATTAGTTGCCCTGTCTTGGTCTGTGCTGAGCACAAGTGAACAAGAGGAGAAAATGTGATAGAACATGATATCTCACCTCTGAACCAGAGAAATAAGTGCAGAAATTAAGACAGCAGGAGACTGCAACTGAATGGAGCCAACAGCTTATTAAACATTAACCAGCTACTGTAGGACCCAACCCTACTGTACGTTCATCTCGGGAGATGTTAGAATTTAGTGAGGTGACTGTTTCATTAGAAAATGCATTATATTTGCCAGAAAGCTTCAAAGGTTTGTTGTCTGTTTGAGTATTATTTCTCAATAGCTCAGAGCTAACATCACCAAAATGGGTCATTTAAAAATATTTAGACATAAGCCAGCCAAAAACAAACCAGAGGACACAAGAGGAGGCCATGGGACAGTGCTTTTACAATTGAGAACAGAAGGAATTTCTTTATACTATGTGTTGTGGGATAGGAGTATGAAACAAGCTGTTTGTTATACTATACTGACACCCTGGCTTCTTTCAAAAATAACATTGTAAGATCAATTAGCTCATAAACATCAAATTGACTAGATGGGACAATTTGCTTTCTTATTTGTAACCTTGCTTACATTATGTTCTCATATTTCATGCATCAGTGCACCACCCGATACTTATCTTCTTCTTACACTCTGTCAAAATGAAATCTTCATGATTTCATTTTCACAGTGTCACATTCTATACTGACAATTTAACATGAATCTTTCATCTGTTTTTTTTGTTCAGATTTTTTGTGTTAAGAATGTTTGATGGCACCCATCAGACCTGAGTCTTGCATTTCTTTTGTGTATCAGTATCTGCTGTACAGTATATTCAAAAGTACAATATGTCAGAAATACAAATGAAAAATGAGACATAATCAATAATGTGCATGATCACTGGAACTGAAAAAAAAACATCAAAAGAAAGATTAAGTATTACAAAAAAAACAAGGAAAGTTAAAAAATTTAATTTAAAATGCCAATAACTTCAAGGCCTCTGGTTACCACAGGGAGATGTGACTTACGCAGTCCTGCTGCAGGATAACAGAAAAGCTGATCTACTAGCCTCTAAAGCTTAAAGCTGATCAACAGATTTGTGTTCTCTCAAATTGACTACTCGTTGGGGTATCTAAATCTACTCTGAACAAACCGCAGTACTGTATGTCCAAAATTCAGCAGCCAGAATCCTAACCAGGTCTAGTGCAAGTGTTCACATTACTCCTATCCTAGAGTCCTTGCACTGGCTTCCGGTCAAATTCCGTGTAGACTTTAAAATCCTCTTGCTCACCTATAAGGCTCTGCATGGCTTGGCACCTCAGTACCTGTCTGAACTATTATCGTCCTACTCCCCACCGCGCAACCTTCGCTCTTCTAACTCTGGTCTCCTATCTGTCCCCCAAGCCTGTCTACACTCTATGGGTGACAGGGCCTTCTCCTGTTATGCCCCCAAGCTCTGGAACTCTCTCCCCAAGGATATCAGAGTCACCTTCTCTAAACTCCTTCAAATCCAGACTCAAAACCCTCTTCTTCAGAAAAGCCTTTACTTAACTGGTTCCATTCTTCACCCCTCTGCTTTTCTTAGTACCACCATCCACGGTTTCCTCTATATATTGTAATTCTTATTTATTGCTGTTGTCATTCTGTAAAGTGCTTTGAGAAGCCACCTTTAAGGGTGCTATATAAAATCAAGTTTATTATTATTATTACTATATAACAGTTGTCTAATCAATCATAGATTTCGTAATCCCCAGGTCATCTACTCCGAGTTTCCTGGGTTACAGTAATATAAGTAGTCTGAAATAAGCTTTCTTTGATTTTCTCCTAATTGCGATCATGGACACAGCATTATCTGTCAAGACACAAGACAGTAGTAAGGTCTCAGCCCTCCTAGGCTCTGCTTGAGAAAATTAGACAGGACAGAAACAGGCTAGATTGATAGAGGCTGTTTATAGTTTGAAATGAGTCAAAATGACTATCCTTAAATATCAATGAAGCAGATAGTCAGAAAAAAGATAGGCGGACAGCATCCCTGTTCCAAAGGCTAAGTGTGTGAATCTTGGAATAATGAATTCACCCACCAGAATGCAGGCTGGGACTTCTACAGTTCATTTCACACTGGCATGTCAGCCTCACTCTGAACAGAGCTCTGGGAATGGACTGGTAGACGTTCTGTGAACTGTACCACCTATAAAAGGAGAGACAAAGGAAAAAAGATTTTGTAGGCTTTAAATAACATTAGAGTAACAATACAGAGTTTTTTGTTGAAGTGAAAATAGATATACAGTACTATCCAGTACAGTACATACTCAATACATAGCACCATGTTGTAAAGCGCAGTAAAATCACAGGAAAGCATACAGTAGTAAAGAATAGAAATACATGACAAAGCATTATCTACATATGGGGAACCTCTATGAAACAATGTAAAAATAAAGTTGTGGTGAACTACAAAACTGCCAGGCACATATACGTTTGTAAGCCTGGACCTAAGAGGGCATGTGAAGTCTCTGTGACTGCACACAGCATCTGGGCTGTTGACTTAAGCCCTTCTCCACTACAATTATCAGAATCTTATTAAGAAGTTGTAATGAAAAGTCTGTAGTTTAATAGGGCTGGAATTGTCTTTAATGACCAGAACCATAAAACAGCTTAGGTCACACTTCCCCTTAATCTTCACCTTACAGCTATCCTTGAGTGTAGCACAAAGCAGCTGAACACTGAGGTCAATAACCTAGTACAGGCAGAATATATCCATATTTAGCACTTAAGGTATTTATTACTTAGAAGGTTTTATGCCTTTTAGATTTTGGTGTTGTCTCAGGAGAGTTTGCAAGGATATTTCATCACAGCAGAGAGCATGATGACTGCTTTACAAGGCAGTCTAGTCCAGCAAAATAAAAATTCCATTACATTCATGATCGAACTGTTTTCAGCTTTGACTTGAGCTGACTCTCTAACCCAGAGGCGGAACTCCCAGAGGTCTTCGGTAAATTAGTCTACCAAACCTGCCAGCCCCTCGCCGACAGTTTACAAATGAAATCATGTTGAAATCAACGCACCGGGGAACTGGAATCCTTTTGTCTAGTTTGTAGTTGTGGATGTAACACATTTTAACACATTCCAAAACGATGAGGCTTCTTAATTATAAAATGAAATGAGGAGCCGTGACTGAAGTCAGACTCCAATTATTTATGCTTTTATAAAAAAGCTGGAAAGAGCTTTTTTTGTGATATATAAAAAAGGCATCCAAATGAGGTGTTTGCAAGGTGATTGTGCCATTTAATCATAGCCATGTCTTTATTTTTCAATTTATTTTCTAGGCTTCCATCTTAAGATGTGGGAGTATCAGCAAAAACGCAGTATTTTACAGGCAATACACAAAACGTCCAATAGGCCCTTGTCTAATCAGTTCCACAGAAGCTCTACTAAAATCATTAACAGCAGACATCTATATTTTACAACATGCTCTTTCAGGCGGTCTAATGACTGGTGATTATAGCTACTAAAATGAGGCGAACAGGTCAGAAATTCATGTTGAATATCAAGAGCCCCTCCTTGTAATCCAGCACTGCAGTTTCTATTTAAGAAAAAAAGCTGTACAGTTGAGACACTACGGCAGCTGGAAGAGTTGTATGTTTGTATGACATAAAAGAAAAAAAACACGTAGCTGAACTGAGTGTCAAACAGTTCGTCCTTCAATCAATATTTCATTATGGCAGTGAGGTGGCAGAAGGCAAATAAGTGCAAATGGAACACATTATCAAAGAGTTTATTCGGAAACCATCTTGGATTATAACTTGGAAGCCAGGAGAGTTCACCTGCCATGGAATGAGGTTCCAGCGTCACCTGGATACTGCTTTGGAAGATGTGTGTGTAGACAGAGCTTATTTCAGGCTTACAGATTCCAGTCCAGTTCAACTGCAGTTTGCAGCCATGAGCTTCGAGCTGACTACACCTGCCGAGAGCTATCCCGAGCTATCCCAGCA